TACGTTGATCATGCAATATTAGCTAGTAAATTGGAGGCTTATGGCATAAGAGGAACTGTCTTAAAACTGTTTAAATCTTATTTATCTGACCGAAAACAAATTACACAAATTACAAAATTTAACTTACAAACTAAAACAGAAGAGCAATACCAATCCAAAATGAGATATGTTAGGTATGGTGTTCCCCAAGGTAGCGTACTAGGACCCACGCTATTCATAACTTACATTAATGATCTACCTCTTGCAACTGTACAACCTATGATATTATTTGCCGACGACAGCACAATTAACATTACATGTAATGATAGAAAGCTCTTTGAAACCGATATAAATAAATCACTAAACTCAGTAATAACATGGCTAAACAACAATAATTTAAAAATAAATATGAATAAAACAAATGCAATTAATTACAGTCAAAGACCTCAAAATTCGGATAAAGTTATAGTTTCATATGAAAGTAATATAATAAAAGAAGTAGAAACAGCAAAATTTCTTGGCTTAAAAATAGACAACAGACTCAATTGGAAATGCCATACCGAAGATCTTTGTACAAAAATAAGTAGTTTATCTTATGCGTTATATAAACTGGCATCGACAGTGAACAAAGATGCGTTGATGACGGCATATTATGGACTGATAGAGTCGCTGCTTAGATATGGTCTAATATTTTGGGGAAATTCTACAAACACCGATATGGTATTTAAAATGCAAAAGCGCTGCATTCGGACTATGTTTAGGATCAAAACTACGGACAGCTGTCAGCCACTGTTTAAGAAATACCATATACTAACACTTCCGTCACTATATGTACTAGAAATAGCTTTATTTGTACGAAATAACCCTCAATGGTTTCCGCTCTTATCAGATAAAGTTGTTAGAAATAGACGCATGAAATATAAGCACTATTTACGACTTCACTCAGCGAAAACCACTCTACTTCATAAAAGTGTATTTTGTATGGCACCGATAATTTACAATAAAATTCCAGAAAATTTAAAAGCCATATGTAATAATAATATATTTAAAAAAGAGCTAAAAAAATTACTTTTAAAAAATTGTTACTATAGTGTTAAGGACTTTATAAATGATACTTTATAATTTCATTGTTTCATAGATTTTTGTTTTGGTTAATTTGTTCTGATAATCTTTAGTACCTAGTTTTGAAAATATTTTGTACGCCAATTGGGGCAAGACATGTTGAAACTAAGCAAGCTATTTATGTAAGACCATCTACGTTTGCATTTATGTATAATGTTACACATGTTTACGCAAATAAATATATCTTTATCTTTATCTTTATCTTTATCTTAATATGTTTAAAGTGGGTATATTGAACGAACAAGACCATGCAGATGCCATTTCGAGCATTTCGTAGAAATTATATCATCGTGCCATTTGTGTCATACCGTTTGAATTAATGGCGACCATGTTAATATTGTCACATCAAATCTTTAATGAATGCAGTGTAATCAATCTAATGTGTAGTAGGTACCAACTCATAAAAAAATGTTTTAATGTTTGGCAACTATAATTGCAAACTGATATTTTTAAATTGTAAATGGATATTTTTATGGGATAAGCCGTACCTCATGGTAAGCAGTCGGTGTCGCCCATGGACACCTAGAAGAGATGTTACAACGTTACCAACTCGTTACCGTCCTTTTGGGGCTTAGGAATTTTAGGATTGTCGGGGATTTTAGGATTGGGGAAATTGGGGGGAAGGAGATTAGGCCCTTGTTAACCTCACTTACATGACGAAAGCATTGTTTCATGTCAGTTTTAGATACTGTTTAAAAAAGAATAACTGCAGGAGTTTGAATCGTCTGTATATTTTCTACTATTTGACACATTGAGATACTGTTTGATATCGTCATCCATACTGTTCTCAGTATTTAATTTCCTCAATTTAGGTACTAAAACCCAAAATCAATACTCCATTATAAATGAAATGTAAAAAGTCATCAATCTTACCCGAAGAAAAAGTTACTGTTGTTCAAAAGGCCACGAAAATTTGGTTATCTATATGTTCAACAAAACAATAAGTTTTATCATATCAATTTTCAAATCGTGTTACTACCAGCAGGTGGGACGGTTCACTCACTACGAAACTGCGATACTGTTTACTAATACAACGTAAATGATTGCAGAAAACTGTAGGTCCGTTAACTGTTTTTTGCCAATTAGGTACATTACCTACGAGATCTCGTACAAACTGGATAGAATATTAGATAGGTACAGAAATAAGCAAAGCTGAGGTATAAAGAATATTCTCTGTACCTACTACAAAATTAAGGCATGTATTTAATTAAATATTTAATTAAATACATGAAATTAACAATTGACAGTAATGATGAATTATACTATTCGAAATTTTAGAGCTTGTTTTCTTAAAAAAACACCCATAATCGTATCGTAGGTCCCGTAAGAATCAGATTGTACCAACTTAAAAAAAAAGGATGTAAGTACTTCAAACTTCACGCTACATTAGCACCATCTGAGGAAGGCCTCAACTCGTACTAAGGAGTACTTACGAGTTGTTTTACGTTAACAGTAGTCGAAACGAGACCGCGTTCAGCGCTGTGACCAATCAGAGAGTTGGACGTGTACTCATTTCGATTACTTTACCCATTAAACCAACTCGTACCTACTAAGCCTTCTGAGCACTAAAGCGTCAATGGGTCACAATTTCAATAGTTTTTGTATCGAAAACCGACGTGAAGCAACGCTAGCGTTGTGTTTCGTCGTGTGGTTGACGATACCGCTCCCCCCCCCCATTCCTTAATCTCCCTAATCACCGAATCCCCAACAACCCTCAAACTCCTAATTCCCAAAAGGCCGGTAACGCACTTGTAGCGCCTCTGGTGTTCCAGGTGTCCATGGGTGACGCCGATTGCTTACCATCAGGTGATCCGTCTGCTCGTTTACCGGCTTATCTATACCAAAAAAAAATCGATCGATAATATTATAACTTTCTCTTTTATTTGGAACTTACATCAATCGAATGAACCTAATTAAGTACAATGATGTGGTATAATTATTTCATTGATAGCCATCCTGTATGCACACACAACCTTCGAACGTTTATTTGTGGTCAGTATCAAGTTATGTTATCATACATTCGTCGGAAGATCTGCGGTTTATATCTTTTTTCTCTTTTCCTCATTTTCCATAGACCAGAGATAAAGGAATAGACAATAATCTTTGCGCGCACAATTAATTAGAGAATCCTTTTTCATCTTGTTCTTGAATTATAGAAATCCTGTGAGAATAAAAGATTTTATGCGTAGAGAAAATATATTTTCTTTGTAGAATTAGATACCTACTGCTCTTGACGGTGAAGGGCAGGTACGAAATAATGTTTTGATAAATTACATACTCAACCTAAAAAATGGTACCTAATATTAACCGAAAAAGTCTGAGAATAATGTTCAACACTCAAAGCTCAATAGACTTTTGTATCCTGGATAATCTTAATACGCGAACGAGTAGAAATATTTTTATATCGGTACAGTCAAGATTGCCAAGAGTATGATAGAAATGTACCAAATTTATACAGTCTTAAAATAAATTCATAATATTTCATCCTTCTTTATCACAAAACTCTTCTGTTAACACATGTCATAATCAGACTCACGTCGTACGTCACTGAGTCACCAAAGCTCTAATTGAGGTTATTTAAATTCAAAGTGTGAGTTTAAAACAACAATAATCATTATCTTTAGCACTCTATCGCCATACATGCATCATGGCAAGGGCGCTATGCGTTTATAATTAACAACTTCAGATCTACATCACGAACCAATGTTTAGTTACATCATTGTTTTATTTAAATTAGGGAACATCACAAAAATAATTACTTAAATGTACTACTTTTTTTAAGGGGGGAAACTCATCGAATGACTTCTCCCACTTGGGTGACACTACTAGATTTGTATTTTTTAACTTAACTTTACCCTTGTGTTTTGTTCTCTTTGTATTTCTAAACTACACTATGTAGAATATAAACAGTTCTAAAAAAAAAACCTTCATCATATTTTTATTAACAATAACTAACATAACGATCAGTATGTAGTACTTTTTTATTTTACTAAGATAATATACCTAGGTGCCGATAACAGGTCACTGTACCGTTTCTAATCAAATCAAAGGCGAGGAAAAGAAACCTTAGATCGATTGTTGTTATTAGACATGCTAGTAGACGTCAAATACATTGGAAAATGACGAATAGGTAGGTACTGGGAAAATGAGCCAGAAAAAGTCATTTTGGTTTGCCCGATAATTATGACTAAATATAGAGCGAGAAGGTTCCCAAAGCATAAAAAAGCTTTTTAAACTGTCAAACACCAAGCGGTCACCGGTGACCGCGACCTATTGTTCTTTAATTGTGTCTATAAAACCGGTACTCGACGAGTTAAGCCGTCATATTAATATGAAGTAGTTCGTAAATCCAGAATAATAAGATGGAAGAAAACAATCGGTTCGAATACGCTGTTAAGTTTTGCATTATCAATATCGTACACAATTAGTATTTTCCACTTATACTCTAGGCGGCTAGGCGCCTTTTGAAAGTTTCCAAACAAAAAACATTTAATTGCGTATTACTTAGGGGCTTAGGGGTCATGGTGCAAAAACAATGGTGTTTGTTTCATGAAAAACAAATACTCAACTGACCTAAAAAAATGTTATAATTTTGTTTGAGTTGTGTTTGTGGCAGCATCCTTTTGATCTCTGTTTATTTGGACCCATTTTTTCAATTAGGTAGCCTTATGATTTTGAATGGCACGCATGCTAAACATAAAAATCAAAGGTAACATATTTTATCACATTTGCACAATTATTGCTATATAGGTATTTTAGGCTGGCTATTCAGATATGCGCCCTTAATCCGGTCTGATTTTTAAAGGAATTATAATCCTTTTTCATTTTGATACAATTTATAAACCTACTTATATGGTAAGATTCCCGGAACCGGGGACATTTGTATACTTCTCCAATACTTAGTGCAGTTTTGTTCTCGACTGATCCAGAGACTTATAGGTAGGTACTGTAGATAAAGTGTACCTAATGAAGTAATATCTAAGTTTAAGCGTGTGGGGCTTGTTAGCTGTTCTCTTAGGTACCTAGGTATAGGTACATGTTGAGATAACATGAAAGAATGTCTATTATGTCTTCGACATTATTGTTGATTGTTTTGATCGACAATTATAAAGGTGAATATTTTGTTTCTTTGTTCAAAAATATTAGTAGTGTCTTCCGAAACATCAATTTGGTATTTATGAGTAAGTTAACCACTGAATTGTTCTTCACATCTCACATTCTATTATTATTTTTGTTATGGCTGGATTTTCATATTATTCACCTACCTACCCTACGTATTTATTGTATCGGAAAATTCTTTGAAGACAAATATGTATCATAATATAATTGATTGTACATTATTATCAAGTAAGTGCCTATTGCGTAGCATGCTCTAGTATGGCATGGCTTGCCATTGTATTAAAACAATGATCATCTGGTAGTTAGTAGCAATAAAAGATCCAATAAAGTGACCTCCTCCAGGCGGTGGTATCTAACTTTGAGATTGGTAATAAACTGTCATAAATGGTCAGGTAAGAAGTACCTGTAAGTATGTAATGTGGTACGCGTACCTACGCCAATATGACACGGGTGACACCTGCTAATTTAGCTAAGTAAACCTAATAACGCACCTTCCTAGGACACTAATTTTAAACAATAGATTCCTTAGACTTAGGTACTCACCAATAGCTGTCCTAGTGCGCACATTCCTTGAGTAACACATCGGGTGCAGGATAGCCCAGTAACGATCCACCGAAACACCCACCAAACAAAAGATACTAATAGTGCACAGCATCACTAACAATGAAACAGTGAATAAACACGCGTGCAAGTTTCGTGGCTGACCCACTGATGCCAGGATCGCAAACGGTATTCCAAACAGACCGACCAAGAAGTCTGCCACGGCCAAAGACACAATGTAATAGTTAGTGCGTCGTCGCAGTCTGCGCTCACGACGGAACACATAGATCACCATAGCGTTCCCCACGACTGCCACCAGTGCCACCAAAATTTCGAAAGTCGTGTACGTCGCATGGAGTTCAGGCGTTGGAGTACGGTGAGGAGCCGACGCCACCGTCGACACCTCCGGCAACATATCCTCCGTGGTGTCCGTCATCGCTTACAAGTGTCCGCCTTGAGTATAACTTTTACTACCACTTCCGGTTAAAATTAATCGCACATTCATAGTATTATTGAGAAGTTTTACACTTTTCTGGAATGCATCCGGAAGCGACATAATTGCCGCTATTTCCTTTGGTTTTAGACTAAGTATCCTCATATTGATGTACAAGAAGACTGGCGTGAATATATAGTCAGATTCGTACGATCCAAACGTTAACAATTGACTTGAAAAGTATTAACAGTTAATCGCATTCGGAACACTAGAGTCCGCGGACGAAGCGAGCGTGTCCCGCTCGTGAGGCGTGCTTCCCATCACTGCGGGCGCGAATTGGCGCGAAACCGCGGCGACGACGGACGGCGGGCGTCCCGACGCACGCCCTACGCCGACGCGCCTAGCACTTGTTGCGACTCACAACCGCCACCACCTGCCCTTGAAATGGGAGTCAGGTTCACGTTGATCGCACCACATCAACAACTAAGTTAATGTTGGTTTAATTTAATGGACTCAACCTGTCATGTATGAATATTAATAGGTAGGTACTATACTAACTAAGTATGTTCGTAAATAAGTCAATAAGTAGGTACCTACAAACCTACATTACAGGCATAAATATTTATGTTAAGTCAGTTACTAAGTTTACAAAATTTTCAATATGACATGACTGCACGTTTGGCGCAGTGGCTAGGTAACCAGCTGCTATGCAACGTGTCGCGGGATCAATTCCCGTACCATTATTATATTTGTGTGATCCACAAATTGTTATTCCGTGTGGTTAAATCATTGAATTCGACATTTTCCTGAGCGAACCCGCAAAGCATTAAATAACTCTATCATCCTAATAAGGGCCTCATTGTTATCAGGTGACATTATTGTAGCGTAAGGTCTGTTTATTCAATCACTGTAGCTGTAAAAAATATGTCCAATGGTATAACAGTAGCTAATTCCCTATCGGGCAAAAGGACCTGAAAAATTAAAAAATATCTCAGTACGACCATTTTGCGCCAATTATTCCCAATTTTCGCCCAGTGTATGGTAATAGGCTCACCACTCACCTATACTACTAGGTAGGTGTGTCATCCATCACATACATATTTATTATTATTGACATAAAATATGCACTTGCAATTGTGCCTACCCCTTCAAGCATGTACTATGTGAATCAATAGACATTTTCCATAATTTAGGTATTAATAATAAAGTCAAGGATTTTGTTATTAATTATTTATATTATATCAACCTCATTAGTCGAGTGGTTGCAAGTGCGACTGCCGGGCAAGGGGGCTCGGGTTCGATTCCCAGGTTGGGCAATGTGCCCGGTATACGGCAATAAGCTCACACCCTATTACATGGGACTCATAACATAAACAGTGAAAAGTGGGTGTTACATTGTACAGTGGCATTAACTCGTCGAGTACCGGTTTTATAGACACAATTAAAGAACAATAGGTCGCGGTCACCGGTGACCGCTTGGTGTTTGACAGATTAAGTGCCGTAATTTGCAACTCTGCCTACCCTTTCGGGGTTAAAAGGCGTGATGTCATGAAATCAAGTAATATCAGTTTTTAATATCATAAGGTAGTAGCTCTGGGAACTTACAAACATGAATTACATGGAGTCCTATGAGATAGCTAATTTCTAAGAAATAAAACATACTTTACGTTACTAGTGATTAATTTAAGTATATTTATCAACTTGTTAGTTGCACAAAACATTCATCAATAGGCAAATACATAAGTAGAACACAATATTACATTACATAGAGATACCTAATTGCATTATAATATTTACTGAGTTTGTAATCTCTGTACAAAGTGGCTTGGAATACCAATATTCAATAATGTTCTACTGTCTACTTGATCTAAGTTTGGATGAAAATGCAATAATGCTTCCCAGCATATTTCGCTCAACTTAGGTAAACATAACCACACTTTGTACATAATATTATTCCTACTAGTAGCATCCTCCTTTGGCTCAATACCCCCGAAGACATACATGCAACCAGTTGAAGTAACGGCTGAAGAATGGAAATACAAAGGATGTGGTAAAATAGTTTTCTGCATCAGAGTCCACTGCAAATCAGAGATATTTAACCTCCAAATATCTTCAAACACTGACTGCCCGTCTGAGCCTCCCGCCACAAACACTTGAGCGCCATGTTCTGTATCTATCTGTACAATGCTGTGGCACTTTCTGGGTAAAGGTGTAATGGTATCTTTTGAACTGTCATCTGCTTTCGGAGTTAAAATTGTCCATGTTTTAGTATCAAAGTCAAATATTGGTATTTCCATTAGTTCAAATGCCTGCTCGCCAGTTCCTCCGCCAATTATGTACAATTTATTACCAACATGGGCTATTTCATGTCTGTATCTGCCTAATGGTTCACCTTCCTGGCCTGTACCAAGGTACACTAGTTCCCAAACTAATGTTCGAAGATCTAACCTGTGAAGACAAAAGGTCTCATATGACTTTTTTGCACAAACATGTTTATTATTTCAAACTGCAACTATAGTAATATAAGATACATACCTATATATATCACAGTTATAGACAAAACCATTGGTGCCACCAATAGTATAAAAACACCCATCATGGCACAATATTGCTTGGCCATACTGTGCAGGTGGTCTAATGCCAGTAGCTTCTAAAATATGAAGCCTGGTGTCTTCGTTGCATGTATGCCACACAATCACGTCATTATTGCATTTATTGCCAAAAGGAGCGCCTGTTCCTCCAAAAATCTGAAATTAAACATGTCTCACATATTTTGCTGCAAATTATAATTTTAAACTATTAATCTTTTAGAAATTAGCATACCATTAAATATTTTCCATTCATACACATTGCATTTGACGCCAGTTCTTCTGGCATATTTTCGGTCACTATGTGTTGCTTCCATTTTCGAGTAGCTATCGAAAAGCTCCAGAGCTCTTTAAAAAGGGGTCGAGTTGGCGTCCAAGTCGGGTTTTCTCTCAAACGATCAGGAAGCGGTGGTAATGAAGGATTGTAACCACCAAAACAGTAAATGTTATTATCATCACAAGCTATCCTATGACCACTACGAGGTCTAGGGCTTTCGAATCCTCGATATTTAACTTCGGTAACCTTAAATGGTTCAAATATGTAGTCTTTTCTTCTAGACGTCATATTATAATATTATTTACAAATCGTATCCTATACTAATGAATGAGAAAACAGTATGAATAAATATTTAGACAAATTTCATTAAGATAATAATATCCAGTAAATGTGCAATTACACCTCACAACAATAAATACGGGAATAAATATTGAAATTTAAATTACTATTCCTTGATTTTCTCGTTTTTCCTACTTATATTCTATCAACGTGCTATAGATATAGGTAAAATTATTTTGACATTTATTTGAGAAATAGAGAAGCTGTCAACTGTCAAAGTCATAAACACGAATTTAAGCAATGACGACTCTAAAAAATCTCTGTTTCAGATCTGAAAGACTTCGGTTCCAGATAAAATTATTGATCGACGTCATAATATTATTAATAATACGTCCACGTAGACGTCATACCATACCCTATACCAGTCATCATATTTTTGACTCAGCAAGGGTTGATTTTGTCCTTGATTTTTTGTCTATTTATGTACGCAATAAAGTTTAAAATCGCCGTTGTGACATCACTTTGGCTCTTCCATTGAGTAATGTCATTGATTAAATAAATTGTAACAAATATCTAAATAATAAATTCCTTGTTTATACCTATATCGTACATGTTCATAAGTTATTTAAATATCAAGGATTTTATATCTACTTAAAGTTGTTTAAGTATATCTATGTACATAGCAAACTTTTTCGATATAAATTATAAAAGTATGTTATCTAAATAGACGTAAACCATCATGGTCATGACAGTCATCTCCCTTTTTTATTATGTTCATTTAAGTATTACTTGCTGTGACGTTAGCGAATTCATGCACCACTATAGATTTTGAGTTTGGATAGGTAACAAATTTACGAATAAAATACAAAATCACATGTTTAAATTTTATTTCACCAATTATTTTGTCGATACAAATAACGGGCTACGCTTTATATCTAACCATTACATGGAGAACAAAGCTTCTAGCATAACATAAAATAGCATAGCATAATTATCAGGCTGCTCTACTACAGAAAAATTACAATAATAACAGAAATTAATAGAATTGTTCATAAATTGTCATTAATGTATATGTTGATGAATGTGTAATTCAAGTCATTATTGCCCCCTCAACCTATATTTCGTATACATATATTTCGTGTCTACAATTTATAAAAGCAAATTATTGTAAATACAATTTTATTAATTATCTTTTTTATACTTGGAAAAGCTTATGATTAAGTCAATAACAAAATTAAATAAGTCAACAAATACCAATAGAAACTATGAAATTCAAATAAAAAATTAATGATTCCGCTTAGATTTCTTGTTTTTCTTGGAAGGACCTCGGTTAGCGAATACAAAATCACTCAGCATTGGCATACGAGGAGCGGATACTTCATCGACGGTAGGGGCAGCAGGAGGAGGCGGTGGTGGTGCAGCAGGCGCCTTACGTTGACGCCAAGTACCACTGTTGCCCGCCATCTAGTAACAGATATGGTTAACAATGGAGAACGTTTAAGTTTTTAGAAATATATGTACCTATGAAGCCCTCGGTGTTACGAATAGATCTGTATACTTAGTTTTGTCGTACGACCAAAACTGGCCGAATTATATGCGTCTAAAGTTTTGATGGCTTTCACTTTCATAAAAATAAAAAAAAAATGTCAACATTGTATGTCATGTTATAGCGCCTGTGACAAATTGTATTTTTTAGTTAAACTTTGAAGATTCTTAATTTACGTCACACTATTACGACCTGCGACCACAGAGGTCGCAGTTTTTGAGTCTGGTAAAACAAACAAGTAACAAAAACAAGACTGACAAATATATTGTAGATGTAAAATCCGTAAAATACCTGAGAATAAGATACTCCTGAAGGCGGAGACCCAACGCTGGTAGACGGTTCTTCTAGGGATGGAGTTAGTGGCGGGTTAGAATTAAGTGACGAGCTGGAATAAGGTGGCGAGCTGGAATAAGGTGGGAATGAGGATAGGTCTGGCCTTTGCTGATTCTCTGCAGCGCGACGGTTGGCGAGTTTTTCTTCACGTTTACGACGTGCGCGCGCCTGTGCACGACGTTTTAACTCAACTACAAAAAATATACAAGGCGAGGTAAGTATAACCTACATTCTAGCTTCATAACCCAAATACAAGGAATTAAAATTAATTATATTAAATTAATTCATTAATAAAGTAATATTATACCGGCATACTGGTTCAATCCTGATTCAGTGACATATGGCGGTTGTAGCTCTAACTCAACAATATCATAAGCACAAAAGAGAGGTAAATGTGCAGTACAGGGCATGTGTTGTCGTTCCTGTAAAAATATCACACATTACAATAAATAAAAAATACGCAGTAACGCCGTGGTATCTGGAATCTTACCCAATGTATTGCAAGTATGACCCAAACCAGTTAATCTGTCAAACACCAAGCGGTCACCGGTGACCGCGACCTATTGTTCTTTAATTGTGTCTATAAAACCGGTACTCGATGAGTTAATACTCTCAAATATACTAATACTTATAGTAGGTGACCAAAATTGGTTCTATTTTTATACCTGCTCAGTGAGTGAAAACGTTTCCCGGTGCAACACACGTCCACGTATTACTTGCGGAGCTGCAGCTAAGGCGCCCCATGATGCAATTAGAATGCGCACATTCAAGTGATGTAAAAATATTTGCTGCCCATCTTCAGCTTGATAAAAATAAAAGAATTTTTTAAGGTTGAGTTTATCAATGGCCGTAGTAGCATTATCTTCAAGTTGTTTTGTTTCCTGAACAATACATTCAGTCAAAGGAATTTCCTCTGGCTGCATTTCATCTATGTCAAATGATGGGGCTTCTGGATTTAAATTAGAATCGACTGTGTTAAGATTCAATGCCCCCATATTATTATGTATAATGTCAACACAAGCAGCTCCAGCTTCATTTTCATCCAACAATTCTAGATTTTTAGGTGATGCACGATCTTTTTCATTTGTATCTCCCATTCCAGCGTCACTGGTTTCTTGCATTATTTCAGCACATGCAGCTGCCCCCTCTTCATTTACATCAAACCAATCTAATTTATTTTGGTTTTCTTCCAGTTTTTCATATACCGTAGGAACTACAGCTTCAGTTTCTTCATTTATAGTTAACTTTGGCTCACTGAATCTAAGATTGATATTTTCCTCTTTGGACTTGAGCATTTGTAAAGCTTGTTCTAAGTAAACTATCTCAGTTGTGTCTATCTCTGCCAATATTTGATTTTCTATTTCATGCCTCTCTCTTATTAAGATTTCATGGATCTGTAATTTTTAAATGTTTCACAATAAATAAATAAATTTGGATTTATTGACCAAAATGTTTAAATGCACTACATACAACAAAATCTAGCTACTCTAACATCTTCAATCTTATATTTGGGGCAATAATAATATAAATACAAAACAATTACCTGTTGCTTAGTGGCAGAGAACATTTTAGTATATGGTGCATTGTTGATATTTTCTAGAGGCAAAATTGGTGGCATTGCCTCTATCACTTGTCCACGTGGTGGCGCCATTTCCACAGCAGTGGATCCTCGCAGACGGCGTACGAGACGCATAGTTACCTACAATGACAGTATAAACATAAAAAATTGAAGGCAATCTATCTGTAACCCACATAATGTGACACAGTCTTCAGTATTTAGTAATTTCAATATTTTTTCTTTTTGATGACATAAGCCGTTACATGAGCAGATGGATCACCTGATGGTAAGCAATCGGCGTCAGCCATAAACACCTGGAACACCAGAGGCGTTACAAGTGGTTACCGGCTTTTTGGGGATTATGAGTTTGAGGATCATTGGGGATTTAGGGATATTGGGGAGATTGGGGAAGGGGAGGAGGGTAATTGGGCCTCTGGTAACCTCACTCTAACGACGAAACACAACGCAAGTGTTACTTCACGTCGGTTTTCTGTGAGGCTGTGGTATCACTCCAGTCGAGCCGGAGATTGAAGAATTATTGTCTTTATGGGATATTATTGCCTTTACAGCAAACAAGCAAATGGATCACCTGATTGTAAGCCATTGGCACTGCCCATGTACAAGCCATTGGCACTGCCCACACCACAACACTAGTAAGAGAGTGTTTACTTTATTTGACACCTTTTAACACTTTAACATACCTCTTCTGTTTCTGGTTCCCATTCTACAATTCTTATGGGTTTCATGTCATCAACGTGCAATGGTGTAGAGCACATTGGACATGGAGGTGGTTGCTTGTCGTGGGTTGCAGCATAGTGGAGAATGCAGGCCCAGCAGTAAATGTGGCCGCAACGATACACGCGACCCGCCGCAGGAGGTCCCAAACATATAAGACACTTCGAGCGACCTGTAGCTCGGACCACCTGAAAGGAATTTAAAAGTACTCACAATTAAAAATTTGTTTATTAATTTCGTATTTCTAGATCTGTTTGAATTTAGGTGTATCATTTCTAGTCTTTTGTACTTTGTGTAGTGGTGGTTAATTGGAATAAGCCCAAGGGTCTCCTTTTATACATAATATAGGTTAAAAATACTCACAACTTCTTCAATATGATCCCACTTTAATGGGATATCTGGATCCAACAGATTAGCTTTAATATCTCCGTCTTCCTTTATCACAAACTGGCAACTGAAATAAACAAGTATATCAACATAGGCTAACAACTATTTATAAATTCTACCCTACAACCTAAAAAAAACACTAGGTGATAATGTAACAATACAACATTAGGTCTAATTACATAAATTATGAGTAGGTAAACAATAGGCGGACAACTTTTTTATTATAATTGCCAATATGTGGGTACTTACTAAGCTCTCAAATAATGGTCATGTCCATGACGACTCGGACCACGGTTCTGGAACCCAGGACGTCTAACCTGGTGGCCCCTATGCTCTGGCACTCCACGAGAGGGGTAAGAAAAGTTCAGCAAATGGTTCATATTTTGCTTCTTGCTTCCGGGCACAAAGACTGAGCCAATTTCTGGCTCTTCATCCCGTCCTAGCCTGTAATTTAATTAATTAATAATTAATTCACAATAGACCATATATTTCATACAATAAAACATACATCTTAACATTATGTTCATAACTACCTGGTGTTCTGCGTTCCACCCACATGGTAACCAGTGGATCCACGAGTGCGTGATCTCCTATCATACTGTCCCCTACCATATTGTGGTGGTGCATTTTTTCTGTTAGGTTCATTTTTGGGGGTACTACCAGGTCCTTCACGTTTCTTATTATTACGAGGCCAAGGCCTAGGAGTTGATTCTAAAAAAAAAATATAAAAATGATCTCAAAACAGTGAGATGAACCAAAAACCTTGATAACTATAAGTAACATTTCGCTTTTTAGTTAAACCATACGGTATTCGTAAAATTGGCAAAAATAATTAACAAGTAATAGATGTGCTACCTACCTACATAATAATAATACAAAAATTTATAATTTGGACGATGACATGACATAATACCAACGAATATTATGTAGGTACAAACATGCAAATTGTACATTGATTTGACAGATGATATACACCTTCAGGTTTCTTATGTTTTTTACCCAATAATACAAGAACAAAATGCATATTATACCACCTACGTATGGAAAAGTTATCCCTTTTCGTGTTTATTGTACCAAATATCATGATCGACGAATAGATAGATGATAGAATCATCTATTCAATCTAATAATACATGCTAGACGTCGTCAAACATTACTCACCAGTGTTTTTTTTACAGTCGATGGCTGATGCCCTCGACTGTGGTTGAGAAGTTCGGTTCAAAGATTTCTTTTCCATTCTGGATTCCTCCAACATCCACACAAACGGCTGAGCGGGAGACTCCGCAAGGAGATAACGATATTACGTGCAAGGCCGACATTTTAGAAAGCCATGTTTGTAATATAAAACAAAGAAAAATATATTTTCCTATACAAATAACTTTTACCACACGGTAAATAGACGAAAACGTAACTTGGAACACAAAAAAGGGAGTAAAGCTACTCCCTTTCGTCGATAACGACGAAAACTTTGGAGAACAAATTCCTTTGTAGCTCGCCACAAGTATGGCGACCAACCGGCAGCCAGCCGATTTTTCAGATGCGCACTTCCGCTAAAAGCGAAAAATTATATAAAAACACTAATGATATTTAGAATCAATCTCCTCGCAAAACGATTTTTTGAAAGATTTTATTTTTAATTATTTAAAGTTCGACAAACAAATGATTTTTAGTATAAAGTAATTGACATGACTATTTATTTTTGAAAGGCGGTAATAATAGTGCACTGCAATTTTTGAATAAAACTTAATTGTAGGTGGATAAATAAAATTAAAAAAAGAGTTTATCCTAACATTCGTACAATATCTCCAATTAAGATTTACTTATATTTCCTACATAAAATTAAACAGCTTTAATGTAATAAAAAAAACACATAATAAATTATGTAGTAAATACTAAACACCACAATACAGGTTTATATACTCTTCCTATAATTCAAAATAGTTTGGAAATGTGAGTTATCTCTAGTTTTCACAGCTTCAGTAAGAACACCGAGCCCGACAAACCTAATAGACATGTACCTATTTTGGTAAAAATGTACCGTTTAGTCTATGATCGATGTTTAAAAATTTGGCGCGAAACATAAATTTTATTTACTTCGGAATTGGAATACAGCTATTGATTTTAGGACTTTTTGGAGAGCAAAGAGTACTGTTTAATATAATTAAATGGTAATTTTTGACGCTTACCATGATTGATGCTGATTTACCGAAGGAAAAGGCATTTGAGCCAGTTGAAGAGGCACATCAACCAATTGTAAGTATTAAAAGTTAGGTATTGTTAGGAACTCTGTATTTCTCGGTAAAATTTTACTGGAAATTGAGTACCTATTATAAGCACTTAGTAAAATAATCAATATCATTTTGTTCATTTATGGCGAAATATTATAAGGAATGTATTTCTTTTTAGCAACAAGTAAACATGCATTGTCAAAACCCGACAAAGAAGCTTACTTTTGCCAAAAATGTTGACTTAAGCGGGAAAACACTTTCTCAAAAAAGCAGGTAAATACCTAACAATAATCGAGGCAGTTGATTGTTATGTTTATATTTTTACTGTTGACTAAGATTTGCTAAAATATTTTTTATCTAAATTCCTCTTTATGTGATCTCCAAGATCTAAATAATTAGATTAAAAATAGAAATCCATCAACAAACCAACTGCCACTTCCATTATTATAATAAATTGCTAATGTTTCATATAACAGTCAGTAAATATTATGATATATTATTATTTGAACTTTTTCGGTAGTTCGTACAAAGATGTTCTCAGTCAACCACCCAATGGGTTCACGCACTCCCAGAAACTGATTTGGCTGCAGAAACGTCGCACTGCTGGCCTATGGGCACAATGCGACGACTGTGACCGTTGGCGTTATCTGCCTTTTGTACTCGACCGGCATGAACTGCCTGTGAAATGGTATTGTTGGATGAATACAGGTTTGTACGCTATTCTAATTTTAATTATTTACCTATATATGACCCCTAAACTGTTTATGACTTACCAATCTTACCACTAACATTAAATATGTTGGTAAATTGTTTCAACAAAGATGTCTTATTTTCCTTGAATTTACAGACAAAGAATTCGCTAGTTGTTCTGTCCCTGAAGCTCCTTTGCGGTTGCACGATGAAGAAGATTTAATTCACAGCGAGTATGCGGCAGGATCGCTGGTGCTGGCTCGGCTAGGTGGTTGGCCCTGGTGGCCGGCTATGGTGGATGATTGTCCCGATACCGAGCAATACTATTGGCTCGACGGATTCTCTGATATACCCGTAAAATATTTCTTCTTTTCGACGTTATCTCTATAAGCTTTCGATGACTATTGACCGAAATTCTATTTGAAATGTTTAACTAGATAAGTAAATGTGTATATTTTTTTCAGACCCATTATAATGTTGTATTTTTTGATGCCATGGAAGCTACTCGAGCATGGATAGCTCCTGAACAATTAAAACCATACTCACAGAATAAAAATATATTAAAGTGTTTTCTAAAAGACAAAAAGTATAATAAACGCCTTAAGGCTGCTGTTTCACAAGCTAACGAGGCTGAAAAATTATCTCTTGAGAAACGTTTAGAACGCTTCAGTTTTATAGCTAGACATAAAGGGGTTATATTTAGCCCAAGGAAAATGAAAAAGACTGATATTGAGAAGTATAAGAAACAATTTAAAAGAAAGTTTAACATTGATTTTCCAATCGAAAGTTCTGAATCCGATGATGATTATGTAGCTGAGACTACAAGTAAAAAAGATAAAAACATTACTATCCTGGGAACTCCGAAAAGGACTAGGCGTGAGAAAAATTCACACTTTCGTGACGAAGAGCAAAATGAAGAAAGTAATTTGACCACTACCGTCGAACCTCGTAACTTAAAACTCAATGAATGCGCTTTAGACTCTGATAAACCACCTAATTCAATGTTGGTTCAAATAGGCAGTACGGATCCTAGCTCTATCGATAACGGTATATTTTAAATAGGCTTTTAAAAAATAACAACAAATTCATGAAACTTCTATCATATTTTCATTCTGTAATTTCTCTCACTCACTAATCCTAACATTTTTTCAGATACGTCAGCTACTTACGTGCCTGAAGAACCATCACGAACGGAATTAAGTATAAGAATGGAGACCCCAAACAGTGATGACTTTGATTTTTAATTTTAAGGTATTAACATGAATAATAAGCACAAACTTAAATGCAAACGGTATGAAGTATACCGACCTACTTATTTACAAATAAAATTTTGATTTCCCTAGATAATAAAAGTTGTTTCATTCAAAACGTTATTCAAACTAAATGGGTCTTTTTTTTAAAGGGGGGAAAATAATCGAATGACTGCTCCCGCCTGGGTGAGGCGGGAGGGAATGTCAGACTATTACTGACTAAAAACCACCCTGTTCCTACTGTATTTCGAGCCGGAGCCTACGATTACCGCTGCCATGGCAGCCCAAAACTAAATGGGTCTGGCTGGTTTAGAATAAACTAAACTAAATAAAAAAATAATGATTAAGTGCATTTAGACCACACTTATTAAGAGGGACCCTTATGGAATGATGAAATAAACGACGTATCGTTTTAGTACCCAATGACTTTCCAGGAAATCTTGTACCACACATGAACAGCCTATAAGTGGTCACCTATTTTAGGGTGACCACTGCTGACCAAAAGCCTTTTCTCATACACATTATGAAGGTTTGATAATCATCAGGCTTGATCAATGCAGTGACAACACGGTTAGTGCGGTCGCATGCCACGTAACGTGTCGCGCATTCGATTCCCACACGGAACAACTCTTTGTGTTATCCATAAATTGTTGTTTCAGGTCTGGGTGTCATGTGTGTGTATGTGAACTTGTATGTTTGTAAACGACGCAGGAGCAAATCCAAGAGTGAGGCAAGGTTTTAAAAAAAATATTGTTTGGTAATTTCAAACATAACATAACATAACATCACGCCTTTTATCCTCAAAGGGGTAGGCAGAGGTGCACATTATACCACTGTACAATGTAACACCCACTTTTCACTATTTATGTTATGAGTCCCATGTAATAGGGGGTGAGCCTATTGCCATATACCGGGCACAGTTCCAGACTCCGTGCTACTACTGAGAATTTTTTAAAAACCCAGTAATACTTTGCCCGACCCGGGAATCGAACCCGAGACCCCTTGCTCGGCAGTCGCAATTGCGACCACTCGGCCAACGAGGCAGTAATTTCAAACGTATGTAAAAAATCTTGAAAGTGGTAGTCACATTGGTATTGGATGTTTGTAAGTTTCGAATCCGCGCCCTCGTGCATGAGAAATTTAAACCTCCGGGCCACCACAACACAATGACATGACTAATATGTAAACTAGTGGTTATTTATTAAGGTAAATTGAAACAAAGAACAGTTATGTAAATGTAATAAGTGTAGGTGTAATTGATACTCAATACAGCTAGATTATTTTTTTAAACCCCTTCCAAGTTAAAACGGTGACTTGGCCAACTTGGCGAGGGCCCGACTCTAGTTTTTTGGTGTCATAGACTAGTAACTAAATTATTCTTGTCTGTGATTTACTCTAGCCCGAATATGAATAGTCTATGGATGGGCCGAACAGCCTGAAATTAATGTCATGTCAAGATAGAAAAATCTGAAATCAAATTAATTACAGAAGTATTAAAACTTCTGCACCCGTCTATAACACAAATATTCTAATTAGAAAATTATACTTTATTGAGTGAATTAATTTGTCAAGTAACTGCAGCTTTTGCTGTAGACAAAAGTATCAGAATGGCCACCATTTCATTCGCTAAAAGTTTGGTTAACCCAGGTACGGCGAATTGATCTCATGTGTATAAATTTAACACTATTTTTTTTATCGAAGGGCTTGTTTAAATTTTACTATTCACTTCTACTCAGATATAGTGCTATACATTTTTAACTTTAAGTAATGAAACCATTACACCACATTCGGTTATCAGAGATTATGTAAAAGTAGGTTGCTTGGAAGTATACTTGTTTGACCGAATTCATATTATTGTTAAGTACTAGTCACATTACTTTTGATAGTATGAAGCTATTTCATGAATGTAAATAGTGTGCCGTACCGTATTCGGAAAACCATATTAATTTTTTTTGAGGTTAAGTTATTGATTACCTGCTCAACATGAACAGTATTATTTCAGCTGTCAAATTACTTCTCAAACAGAATAATTGCTCACATGTAAGGTGTACCACTGGACTAAATGGGCTAACACCATTGAGTATTGTACTTAGAAGGAACTATGCAGAGAAGCAAGTATTTGAGCGAACAAAACCCCATTGTAATGTAGGTACTATTGGACATGTCGACCATGGGAAGACCACTCTCACAGCAGCAATCACTAAAGGTATTCAATTATGATATTCTGTGCCAATATATAATATTTAGTAAAAAAAAATATATTTGTTAACAAAATCTATGGCAGTACAGTACCTAGGTTTAATTCTTAATTTGACTTTATTAATTCCTTTTATTGAAATAATTTTAAGATATTGTAAACCACCTAAATGCATTCACTAAGTATGTTTGTTTACCTTACAGTTTTGGCCGATGTTAATCTTGCCCAGAAGAAAGGCTATGCAGATATTGACAATGCACCAGAGGAGAAAGCCCGTGGTATCACTATTAACGTTGCTCATGTTGAGTACCAGACAGAAGCCAGGCATTATGGACATACAGACTGTCCTGGTCACGCTGACTACATTAAGGTAATAATAGATATACATTTTTTTTTTTTTTTTTTGATTTTATTGTCCTGCAATCTGTCTCTAACGAACATTCAGCACATGGTCAAGAGTTTAATTTAATTTGTCTTGTAGGGTCACCAGTCCAGCGACGTGGGCCCTTTAGAATTCATCCCTTACAGGTCTCTAGGGGCCTTTCGTTTTAGCCTTTTGAATGTGGAGTTCATATTCATTAAGTGCATTGCTAGAGTGTTTGGGTGGTTGTTGAGCCTTTTTCTGTAGGATATCATAGACTGTTTTATCTCTTCTTGAACCGTTCTGATTTTAAGGTCATGGTGTAATTGTTGGTTAGTTATAAACCAAGGAGCATTAGTAATTATCCTCAGCATTTTGGACTGGAACCTCTGGAGTATTTCTATATTAGAATTTGAGGCAGTGCCCCAGAGTTGGATTCCGTAGGTCCAGATCGGTTTTAGGATACTCTTGTATAACAGTAGTTTGTTTTCGAGTGATAGCTGCGATTTTCCGCTGAGCATCCAATACATTTTCCTCAGTTGGATTCCCAGTGCTTTTCTTTTAGTAAAAATATGCTTTTTCCAGGTGAGGCTACGATCCAAATACAGTCCAAGGTATTTGGTTTCATTTGCTTGAGGTATTTGTTGCCTATTCAGCGTTACTGGGGGACATGTTCCACGTCGCATCGTAAATGTCACCTGTACTGACTTTGTCTCATTCGCCTTTATACGCCAAGTATTGAGCCATTCCGTGATGTTGTCCAGGGAGAGTTGTAGCATGTTACTTGCTTGTTTTGGTTCGTCATGGGTAGTTAAGGCTGCAGTGTCGTCAGCAAAAGTGCCAATCACAACTCCATTTGTCATAGGCAGGTCTGAAGTAAAGATTAGGTACAGTATCGGACCAAGTACGCTCCCCTGTGGCACTCCTGCGTGCGCCCTATAAAGTTTGGATGTGTCCTCTCCTTGTTTAACATAAAAGTATCTTTCAGCAAGGTATGACTTTAAGAAGACATAAAAGTTTGTAGGCAGTAGTTTTTTTATTTTATATAAGAGACCTTCATGCCAGACTCTGTCAAAGGCTTGGGAGATGTCCAAGAAGGCTGCACAACAGTATTTCTTATTTTCAAAGGCTCTGTGTATTTCTTCTACCAGTCTATGTACCTGCTCGATCGTGCTGTGACGTTTTCGGAAACCAAATTGGTGGTCGGGTATGATTTTATTTTCTGCTATTACTTTGTTCAAGCGTTTCAAAAAGAGTACCTCCATAACCTTTGAAAGGATGGGCAGTAGACTTATCGGTCTGTAGGACGACACGTCCGCAGGAGATTTACCAAGTTTAGGGATCATTTTAATTTGTGCAACCTTCCATTGGGATGGAAAGATTCCCCTGATCAGAATGCAATTGAACAGGTTCCTCAAAAATTGGACTGCCACTTTTGGTAATTCCCGCAGGATTTTGGTAGTGATCAAGTCATATCCAGGGGCTTTATTTTGAGGTAGATTTTTAATTGTGTCCATAACCTCGCTTGTCTTTATTCTATCTATTGGCAGGTCAAGTTGATAGGGCTCATTAAGGGCTTTAATTACTTTCTGATTAATACTCGATGAAGTCTGAGTTAAATTTGGCATAAAGACGTCAGCAAGATGAGAGGCAAATGCCTCTCCTTTCTCCTCGTCACTTTTTGCCCAAGAACCGTCCCTTTTGCGTATTGGTGGGTTAGAGGCAATAGGCCTTTTAAGTTTTTTGGTCGCTTTCCAGAGGGAGTAGTCACTAGAAGCCGTGGCATCGAGATGGCTTAGCTCATTCTGTACAATATCATTTCTTTCAACTTGCAGTAGTTTTTTAAGTTTTGTTGATAAGTTGTTCAGACGTGATTTGTCCTTGGGGAATCTGGTAATTTGCCATAGTTTTCTAGCCCGTCTCTTTTCGGCCACTAGTTCACTAACAGCTTTTGAGCAATCTGGTTTTGAATATTTCTTAGGGGCAGGTGTGCTATCCCAAGCTGCTTGTTGGACACACTCGTTGAAGTGTTCCACTGCTGCCATTGTGTCCACTTCATTTTTAAGTGCTATATTGGTATTTATCGTTGATTCTACCATTAAGCGGAAATTGTCCCAGTTGGTTTTACGTCCGTGTAGCTTAGGTGTAGGTTTAACAGACGAAATTTTATGGGAGAATTCGAGTAAAATCACGCTATGGTCAGATGAAAGATCTTGAAGGGAAATGCATTTAAAATTGTTAGTAGGAAGACCCTTAATGACACTGAAGTCTACCAAATCGGGCACTTTCTTTGGGTCTGTCGGCCAATAGGTTGGTTCCCCGTTTGATACTACATCTAGTTGTAGATCGTTTATAGCTGCTTGTAGCTGGCGTCCTTTGAGAGTAGTTAAGCGTGAGCCCCAGGAAGTATTTTTGGAATTATAGTCTCCACCAGCTATAAATCGTGGTCCTAGTGTCTTGAAGAAGGTGATGTAATTTTCCTTTTTGATGGCATGTTTTGGAGGATGTACATAATAAGATTATTTTATGTTTTAAAGCCCAACGAGCTTGCTAGTGAGCTTATGAAGTCTGCCAGCAGCTTTAAGCGCATCAAAAGGAGAGCTCCACAGGACCTTCTCCTGTTGCATTAACAACATCCAACTCAAGGGATGCAATAATTGAAGACGGGTACACCACTGGGCATTCTCTGTACATGTCACAATACATGAACCTCTTAACCCCAACTGGGTATACTGTAGAGAAATAAGGAGATATAAAAAAAAAAATTAAACTTGAGAGAACTTAGTAACAACGATATTCTAATTTTTTCTAAAGAGGTGTGTTATTCTCTTTTCAGAACATGATCACTGGCACAGCTCAAATGGATGGCGCCATACTTGTGGTAGCTGCCACTGATGGAGTGATGCCACAGACACGAGAGCACTTGCTCCTTGCCAAGCAGATTGGTATCCAGCATGTAGTGGTATTCATCAACAAAGTGGATGCTGCTGATGAAGAGATGGTAGAGCTTGTAGAAATGGAAATTAGGGAGCTTATGTCTGAGATGGGATATGATGGTGATAAAGTACCTGTAATCAAAGGTACAAACATATTCAAACAATCTCCAATTATAATTTAGTATTTGTCACACTGACACTAAGTGTGTAGTAACTTGGTACTAATATTAATGTTATAATTTTCACAGGATCAGCCTTGTGTGCATTGGAGGGAAAGAGCCCTGAAATTGGTTCAGAAGCAATCTCCCAACTCTTGAAGGAAGTTGATGCTTTCATCCCAACACCAATTCGTGAATTAGACAAACCCTTCCTGTTGCCAGTTGAGTCAGTACATTCAATCCCTGGACGTGGTACTGTAGTCACTGGGCGCTTGCATAGAGGTTGGTTTCATTGATAAGTAAAAATTGAATAGTGCTTTTGATTGCACAGTGGAATAATATTTCATAATTTGTGTTTCCCTACAGGTGTACTAAAGAAAGGAACAGAATGCGAAATTGTTGGTCATGGCAAAGTTATGAAAACCACCGTCACAGGTGTAGAGATGTTCCACAAGACATTAGATGAGGCTCAAGCTGGAGATCAGCTGGGAGCCCTGGTCCGATCTATTAAACGAGAACAAATCAAGCGTGGAATGGTCATGGCCAAGCCTGGTACTGTTAAAGCTCATGACAATGTTGAAGCTGCAGTGTACATCTTGAGCAAAGAAGAGGGTGGTCGGTCAAAGCCCTTCACATCCTTCATTCAGTTACAGATGTTCTCTATGACGTGGGACTGTGCCACACAAGTAGTAATTCCTGATAAAGAGATGGTGATGCCTGGTGAAGATGCTTCGTAAGTATAGCCAAAACTTCAATTTGTGCTACTGCTTTAAAATGTATAAAAAAAAAATATTAAAAATATTTTTTCTTTCAGGTTGAGACTTCGTCTTCTGAAACCTATGGTATGTGAGCCTGGTCAAAGATTTACTCTACGTTTGGGTGATTTGACGCTCGGTACTGGCGTTATTACCAAAATCAACAACAATTTGTCTGAGGAGGACAGGCTAAAACTCTTGGAAGGCAAGAAGGCCAGGGAAAAGGCTTCTTCCAAAAAGTGAATAAATAATGTTACATTTAAATTGTTAAGCTTAGAAGTGTAGTTCAATTAATATTGTATGCATTTACCAATGTAAAGTTCAATAAAACGCATTAAAACAAAACTTCATTTATTTTACACACTTGCCCAGACAGAATTCAAATATTAAGAGTGAATTACCAGAATGTTAGGTAAGTACCTATCTTCAACATAATATTTTGATACATGCAGACTTCTGTAGTTCTTAATGTAATATTTCTAGACTGCAGCAGCAAAACATGTTCCTACAACTACTCGGGTGTCATACCTACTTCTAGACCAGAAAATGGCAGATCAGACTTGTAAATTCAAACCGCCAACGAGATTTGAGTAGATCATAACTATGCCTTTTATTTTACTCGAAGAAAAGGCGTGTATTGAGTAGTTACTAGGCAAAAATGTCAGTCATTTCGTCAGTCCTAAGAACTATGAATACAGGGAGAATTCATGATTAGGTACCGTAAAATGGGGTGAATAGGGACAGAAGAGGGTGAATCGATATAGTATCGATTCACCCTCTTCTGTCCCTTTTCGCCGCTCAAACCCTATTCACCCCATTTTATTGTTACGCAGTTATTACGTGCATGACAATCGAACCTGCATCTAGAATACCATAAGCCTGCCGCTCAACCGCAGCCTACCTACATGCAAATTGAAAATTTAGGTACCAAATTGAAATTCCTTAGCTTCGGTAGTAATCTAGTAATGTTAGGTGTATAAGGTGTCTAGAATAGAGGAAAGAGGTATCCCCAGATTTTACATTTGTTGGCCATGTGACTCAAGGATCATGAATCCAATAGGTACCTAGCTAATTATCATGTGTGAACCTCGTCACATAAATAATTTGTTCTTAGATACAACTACGTCATCGACGACCAAGATGATCACACTAGTCAACAAAAGTATGAGTCACCTGCCGCAGTTTGTAAATTTAAACTCCTTAGAAAATCAGTAGGTGTAACTAGTATGTTTCAGCAAGTTTCTCTACAATGTAAAATAAAACAAAACAAAGTATTTTTTGAACTTTATTTCAAAAATTTATCACCACAATTTACAATGTCATATTGTCAGTCGTGTACAAACAAAACTTACGCACTGGTTATGTACATGCTACTGTAACAGTTAAGCATTAACTATAGTAAATGTACCATCAGGAAGGCTTATGTGTAGGATAAACATGAGTGACCTATACACAATTAATAAATAAAATAGGCCCAACTCTATGGGTAAAAAGAATACAAATACAAAGTTACATGACGTTATAATATTACTTACTTCAAGTGCCATTGAGAAAAATGACTTAATTTTCTTTCATATTATGATTAATTAAAGCAAAACTAGAAATTATGACAATAAGTTAGCAATGAATTTAATACAAACTCATGGAGCACTTGAAATTATGGAATGAAAATTTAAATTGATACATTGGTGTACAAAATTGCACAATCAATGTAGTATAGTACTGAAATTTAGCATTAGCTATTTATAGCTGTATTTACAAGTCTTCATCTTCCTCCGGCAGTGCAGTGTCTTGGGCTTCTTTGAGATCCTTTTCGATTTGGTTCTGCCATTGTGGGTCCATTGTGACTTCCGGAGGCAAGAGAGCAGGCATCGCAACAAACTCTAGGTTACCATCGCCAATCAGTTTCCTAGCTAACCACAGGAAGGGCTTTTCAAAGTTGTAGTTAGACTTGGCAGAGATGTCATAGTACTGTAATCATAACAAAGAATCCAAATGTTAATCTTCAATTTAGAATAGAACTTAAAAATATGAGTGTGTAAGCAATGGGAAAGGTCTTACCTGTAGGTTCTTTTTCCTGTGGAACACAATTGTTTTTGCTTTGACTTTCCTGTCCTTGATGTCTACTTTGTTACCACACAAAACAATGGGAATGCCTTCACATACACGAACTAAGTCTCTATGCCAATTTGGTACGTTTTTGTAAGTGACACGGGAGGTTACGTCGAACATGATGATAGCACATTGGCCTTGGATATAGTAGCCATCTCTTAATCCTCCAAATTTCTCTTGACCGGCTGTATCCCATACGTTAAATCTGATAGGACCACGGTTTGTGTGGAAGACCAAGGGGTGCACTTCGACGCCGAGTGTTGCAACGTATTTCTTCTCGAACTCTCCAGTCAAATGTCGTTTGACGAATGTTGTTTTGCCAGTACCACCATCACCAACTAGCACGCATTTGAATGTGGGCATATCATCTGCCATTTTTGTAGATTTTTATTTTTAATTCTGAAAAGTAATGGAAAAGTTTAAGATTAGCAAAAAAATGACAAAGTCTGCATGACGTTAGGTCTATGACCGTTTGGCGCAAACAAGTCGATTCTTTGATGTCTCTAGGATCTTTTGAGTGCCGTAAAATAAAACAATAAATAACACTTTGCGGGGAAAATATAAAACTCACTGAACCTTTGAAATTGACAACTTAAATTTGCTTTAACTTTATACCGAATGGCGCTCAACTGGGCTCACAGGAATTTAGCTCTATAGTACCGAACATTAACACGAATTACACTAGAACTACACAACTAATAACATAAATATATAATAAAACAACAAGGATTTGAAGTATAGAACGAAATTACATAAAATCTAAACACTTATTACCAAGATTGTTAAAGAAAATCGAGATTAAACTCGTTGCAGCTTAAAGTCGTTACGGCTCACAATGGCGTCACTTGACTAAGCGGAAGATTTCTTTGACAACGACTGGCGCAATGACTCTGGAAGTCAAATGTAGATTTTATATATTTTCAAAAATCATAAAAGTCAACCATAAATTAGATAATAATATTATAGTATCAGTTTTAATTTTAAGATTTATTTTTAATATTAACTTTTGGTAGCGTTTTTAAAATATTTAAACTTAATTAAGTTAAAAAGTATTATAATGATTTTAGCGCCTTTGCTGCTTTACCGACACTTCTCTTGACGTCACACACAGTAAGGAACAGTTGCGCCATCTACAACTTTGCTAAATTTCACATAGTACATGAGACAGGTAGTGAAGTTTTGTTCGTTTCGTGTGTATCGATTTTTTGAGTGAAGTGAACGTAGTGTTCGTGTCCTTTAGTTTAGTGACGTTTGTTAGAAAAATATCTGTGAATGGGATTGTGTAACGAGATAAAACGTTTACTTGGTGTGTGATTCTCTGTAAAGGATGACGAAGGATAGGTTAGCGGCGCTCCAAGCGGTAAGTTAGTTTTCCTTAGTTTCTCAACGCTGCTATAACCAAAGGCTTTACTGGTGACCTCGAATTCATCAAGAACCAGCATTGAAATCGTGTTTCATATCAGTCAAGCATATTGATGACTGCGGTCATGGTTCTCATAGACCTAAGAAGTCACTTTCGAGGAACCTACTTCCAATGGTGTTCTTAATTCTTGTCGCCCCACCCCGGACTTGACACCGCTGAATGATAGCTGTCATTGAAGCGAGACAATTTGTTGCGTTCCGCAATTTTACCAACTACCTACTTTATCTGCATTTTCCATTGTTTTTTGATCAATAATTTAGTAAGTAAGTAACTTCATAGTTGGATAACCTCATTGGAAAGGCTATCTGCCCACTCAACTTATAAAACATAATAATTTTACTAGGTAACTCCAGTAATGCTCTTTATTTGGTTTTTAATGTTATCTTTCATTGTGTTGTTACCCGACATTAAATGCAAATCTATAATTTCCACATAACAATGGGAAATACTGATAGTGATAGTTCCCCGTTCAAACTGTTAAAAGTAAAATTATTACATTGGGTTTTAGGAAGGTCATTTCTCTACATTTTATAATATTTAATAGTCTAAGTAGTGATTCAACAGTAAATTAAATTTTCTCAATCCTGTTAATGACTATTGAGCCTCATAACCAATTTTAGGTCTGTGGGCATCCTTAGAGGCAGATAAAAAATTAATTTTGTAGCCTGCCAAACAAATACCATTTATCGAACTACCTAGGTATTTAAATCTCTTAGTGGGTCCCATATTTTACATGCTCAATGAAAGCTTATTAGATTCTTATTATCAATACAATATTAATACTTAATGTACAAACTCTTAAAGGTAGTTTTTAACAGTAGATTATTATTTTTATAGGATTTATTGTAAGCCGGTCTTTTAAATTCTTTTAATTATCATTTCTCAATTTATACTTGCAATAGTAGGAAATATTTTTCCTCTAATTTAAACATCTTAATAAAATAATACTGCATAAAAATTCTGTATAAATTGATATATGTTATTTATTTACAGAAATAAATTGTCATTTCATTATTGTTTTGTTATTATTTGTTTATTCTATGCAGCATAAGTTGTATTCAGTAATGAAATGATTGATGCTAATTATAATTCTTATTCCTCATTAATCTAGAGTACATTTTACCAATGTAACTTTAGTTACACATAAGTAACTGAAATATAGGTACTTATATGGTACAATGTGCCTATTTATAATTATAAAATTATTATGTATTTGTATGTAAATGACCTCATCATGATTCACATTAAATCATATCAATATTCACATTACTGAGCTATGACTTTTATCTACATCTGCATTGTAGTATGTAACTAAATGTATTTTTAATATTTTAGAGTGTTTTCTCATGTTAATCATTACACTAGCTGTTGGTTCTGATTTCAATTTTATTGGGTACATTTTAATTGAATCTTTGCTTTTACATTAGACTATGGCTAATGCCATAATAAAAGAATGAAAATTAGCTATTAAGCTAATTTTCATTCTTTTATTGTATTAAGTATAGATTGGCCTAAGTTTCAAAGTCAGACCTACAAAATCGTTCTTTATAATACATATACTAGTCGTTTTCGAAATTAATTAACAGAATCAGTCTGTCCTCATAATATCCTAAGTATTGTCTTATTATTGGTGCTGGATTATCCTTATACCTATCATAAATACGGCGACCATACCCAAAAGACTGATCATTTACGTGACTGTTCCGTAATCTCGTCTTATCAACTCTCGTTCCAATCAAATCCATAATAAATATCAATAAATAATCGCTCAATAAATAAGTAATAAACAATTATAAAATATTCGTCAAATAAGAATTTTTGGCATGCAATTCCTATCGACCCAACTTAAACTCTCAAGTTCGGCTCCGCTTCGTTGTCGACAGAAAAGCCGGCTTCTAGTGCCGTAAATAAGAAATAACAAACAAATATTTGTTCTACTGCCGATACAAAGAGCGTCCCGCAAAGCTCTCTTGCCTTTAAGTACGGCCACTGCACTACAGACTATAAAGCCGACATGTGAAACCTTTCTTCCCGATAAAGACGACACCTTCCGTTTTAGAAATATTCTCACGAGCATTCGATATTCAAATTATATTCACAATGGTGTCGCTAAATAATACCCGTGTCGTCATTGTGTTATCAAACTTTATTTATATTCCGAACTGATACGGTTGTTAACTACATTTATATTTTGCCGTAGGTTTTTCGATTACAATGTTCAACGTTGCCACAAAAACGACTACGAGGCTTTCCTTAATCGAATTTTCAGAAGTCGGAACACGAGGAAGATGAATATCGTAGTAATCAGTCTTTTTTTTGCAACGAGCAGTCGACTAGTTATTGCCTTCTGCTTGTGTTATGTTGCCATGACGTCCACATTGCGTGCATCAAAAGATTATATGTATTATATTGCTTGCCAAGTTGCCACGCTTAACAATCTGTTATTCTACAAAAATATTGGTGCTATAGGTAGAAGTGTTACTCAAATTCGTAGAACGTAGTAGGTATGTCACTGATCAGTTAAATACGTTAGCTGGCTGTGTTATCAGCTGACGAGGGCGGTATTCGGCACGCGACCTTCACGAAGCTTGACTCATACACACAACACAACCGTCAGATTTGCATCATCAATCATAGCATTCGCGTCTCTGATCGTACACATAACACAGTTGCGAACTTACTAATTAACAATTACCTCGCTCACGTTTGTCTTAGTCCTTGAAATTATTGTGGATTTCAAATCTTACAAGTCCCATTTCTGAAAGCTACGAAAGCCGTAATCCAATTACATATTATTTGTACGTTTTGATTTTCTAATTGTATTGTAATAACGCTATTTCAAATGTTGAGGATTACAATAAATGTATCGATGTACTTAATTACTTAACTTTTTAAAGGATTTCTAAGCTTTCGTCAAAATTAGAGGGTTTTAGAGAGCATTACAATAGCAGTAGCATAATTCGTCACAAATCACTGAGAACAGTAGATCTAAGGTTCTATTCATGTGTACGAGAGGCGTTCACGTCATGTGCATTTGCAACAGCCGATTTACATCAGTTATGCGTCGTTTCTATTTTTAGTATCCGTCTCACATGGTGTCTGAACAAAACAGATTCTTTTTGATATCCATCATTCTTTAAAAAACAACCAGCTTTAGACAATATCAAATTATAATTAACAAGTATACCGGCCAAATTCGACAAACATAGGAAAACAGGAAAATAATAAAAATAACTTTTTAAACTTTTAAAAAAATAAAATTAACATCGACAATATTTTTGGCAACATCGACAATATTTTTGGCTAATCAATAGATGCATTTTTATCATAAAACTGATCGTGATATCGCTAAATTAAAGAAAATGCGTTGAAAGGACTAAAAATACTAAAATTGTGTCCATTTTTACTGAAATTATAGTATACGCGGATGTGGCATCCCTAACATTCATAAAGGCAAATTTTCTGCTTTTAGAAAATCTATTCCAAGGGTCACAATGGATTTAAACCGGGAAATGTAAAAAAATGAGTTCATATTTACCGTCATTTATTCAATCCATACAACGAACCCAAACACGATACTAAACTGGTAAGGAATTGATAAACCTTGAATTTTTTTCTTCATAAAGGTGATTTAGTCCTCTACTACTCTTCTTCGCTTTAAACCTCTTCATCTATAATTAGATTATCATCAGCTCTTATTATGTATTGACACCAACGCTTACGTATGGTAGTGAATCATGGGTGTGGCAGAAGAAGTATGAAAGCAGGATTAATGCGGTGGAAATGAGAGCCCTGAGAACTGAGAAGTATGTGTGGACTAAAATTGAGTGATCGAGTGAAAAATAGTGTTATTAGAGAGAGGTGTGGATTGAAAGACGATGTAGTGACAAGGATTGAAAAGGGAATGTTACGCTGGTTTGGACATGTAGAAAGGATGGATGAAAGTAGAGTAACGAAAGAAGTATACAGAGCGGATATGAATGGAGCCGTCGGTAGAGGGCGCCCTAGATGGACATATAGTGACCAGATTGGCGATATATTAAAGAAGGGCCAAATTAGAAGTACCTTTAACCGACGAGCATGCATGAAAAGATTGATGACTGTTAATGAAGCGAAAGAGGTATGTAAGAATCGTAGTAATTGGCTTTCCTTAGTCTCTGCCTACCCCCATGGGAGACAGGCGTGAAGTTATGTATGTATGTATGTATGTAAAATAAATTAAAAGGAGTTTCAAATAATCGATATAATTTCGTATCCTGTCACTTTGACAATATTGCTTTTGTGCACCGGAATATCAATCTGATAACTACTGTAGTACCTATCTTGAATTTGTTAAATCTGTTTTGGTACTGCAGTGCCATAGATAGACGTACTGAGACATACACACGTCAAACTTATAATAAACTATGTATATGTATTACGTCAGGATTAAGGATTAAAATATAAAATTAGTTATAAGAATGTTGTTTATCTGTTTTGATAGTTAGTAATGTTTTGCTGATTGGAACTTGCTTTTGCTATTGATGCAGTCTCAGACACCATGTTATTTTGCGTAGCATCGAATTCGTGCACAGCCAGACTCTTGTGTACCACATTATTTGTGTTAATGTTCTTGGCGTATTTCCAAGTAAAGCCTCCACTAGCGTAGCTGTTTGAGGTTGCTGGGACTTTATGCCAAATTATCCTATTCAGATTTATTGATATTTTGATATCGAGAGGCTATCACCGCAGTCGTCGTCGGCATTATAATCATTATGCTTACCTTTTCAATATTTGCTCAATAATGTAAATTGATTTGCTAACTCGACGACCATAATTTGAATAATTTCCTTATTATTCTAAAAGTTAGGCTTGGATAGCGTACGTACTTTAAATATCAACAATGCAGTGTTGAGCAAATTGAATTTACGATATCGCAACTGACTCGATACATCGGA